CTGTTTTGTAAATAAATTCATTCGTGTCTTTTTAAATATAGATTCCACATGAGTGATATCATATGGTATTTTTCTTTCTCTTTCTGACTTACTTCACTTAGTATGACAATCCCCAGGTCCATCTATGTTGCTGCAAATGGCATTATTTTATTCTTTTTTATGGCTGAGTAGCATTCCATTGTATAAATATATCACAACTTCTTTATCCAATCATCTGTCTGGATGAACATTTAAGTTGCTTCCATGTCTTGGCTATTGTAAATAGTGCTGCTATGAACACTGGGGTGCACATATCTTTTTGAATTAGAGTTTCCTCCAGACACATGCCCAGGAGTGGGATTGCTGGTTTGTTTAACCAGTATTTTGTTCTGATTGATCAGTGGGGACTTAAGAACTTAGCTAACCATTTATGAGACAAAGAAAGGAACTGGAAGGTCTGTGTCTAACCTTGGAGGTATCCATGACCTCCAAGGAGGCATTTGTGAGCCTGATCTCATTCATGTGGGGAATGATGCTTACTTGCAGTAAGCTGTTTCTGGAACAAAAAGAAATGATTAACTTCTATGTTTTCCAAGATCACAAGGCTCAAGCAAAGTTCAATCTTGTCAGATGAAACAAAAAGAAATACACTGTCCACTTTACTGTTGATGAGCACTTAGTTTCCAATTAGGGGCAATTACACATGGAGTTGCTCTAGTCATCTTTACATTTTTTGGTTAACATAAGTACTCATTTGTGTCAGGTATTTTCCTAGCAAGGAAATTGTTGGGTCATGCAATATGCATATGTTCAGCTTCAGATAATGCTGCCAAGAAGATCTTCAAAGTGTTTGTGCCAATTTACATTGCTGCAGCAGTGTATGATAGTTTTTCATCTTGCATATCCTTACAAACACATGGTATTACCTATCTGTATCATTTAAGCCTTTCCAGCAAGAATCTCATGGTTTTACTCTAAGTCCTGTAATCCATCAATGGCCCTCTTATTTTTGTAGAATCTCTAGGGATGAATTCAGGTAAGAAGCCAGAGGCCGTGTATAATACTTGAGGTTCTCCAGAGAACAGAACCAATAAGAGATATAGTGAGAGAGAGACAGAGAGAGAATGAACTGCTGTAAGGAACTGGCCCCTGTGATTGCAGAGGCTGAGCAGTCCTAAAATCTGTGGTCAGCTAACTAGAGAACTAGTGGAGCTAATGTGTAGTTTTAGTCAAAAAGCTGGCAGTCTTGAGACCCAAGAAGAGTTGATGTTTCTGTTCAAGTCTAAAGGTCTGGAAAGACCGATGCCCCAGCTCAGAGCAGTCAAGTTGGAGGAGTTTCCTCTTATTTGTGAAAGGATCAGCCTTTTTGTTCTATTCAGGTTTTCAATAGATTGAAGGAAGGCCACCCACAGTAGGGAGGCCAGTCTGCTTTACTCAGTCTACTGATTCAAAAGTTAATCTTACCCAGAAACATTCTCACTGACACATTGAGAATAATGTATGACCAAATATCTGGGCTCCTCACTCCCCAGTTGAGTTGAAACATAAAATTAACCATCATACCATATTAGTTTGTCATCTTGTCTGCAACCATTCCTTTCAACTGCTGTGTAGTATTCCACTGTAAATATATATTATATTATATGACAGTTATGTAAAATTTAAAATGCATTATTTTGTTTAATATTATACTTGTGCATTTTGTCTATAATGTCATATTTGCTACAGATTGTTCACTATCATTGATGTATAGTATTTTATTATATTATAACCGAGCAAGACCCTATGGGGCCTTCCTGGGACAGAATTCCCCATGTCCTCTGCTAGCCACCTGTTTGTAGAAAATCTTTAGCTTCTTAGGCCTTCCCAAAGTTCCAAAGAATTAATTTAATCAGAGAAGTGAGAAAATGCAGAAACAAAGGAAAACAGTCAAGCAAGACAAAATAATAATAGTATGGCCATCAAACAAAGTCAAGGACCTTGAGTTTCTCCTCAAGGGCTATTAATAATATTCTGAGCCACATCCTTTAAGCTTTTATGCAGATACCCCTACCAGCTGGAAAAAGTTACCTGTATGCTGACCACAAGCACAAAGACCCCAGACTTGAAACCAGAAGGTTGATGATGTTGACTCCCCATTAACTCACCACTAACCAATTATAAGAATGTCCAGGAGCTGATCACACACCCCACAACCTCCCTCCCTTACCCCATTTTTTAAAACCTTTCCCTAAAGCCTTTGGGGAGTTGAGGTTTCTTGAGCACTAGCTGCCCAGACTCTTTGCTTGGTGCCCTGCAATAAACCCCATGCATTCCTTCACCACAAACCTGTTAATAGACCAGCTTTACTGTGCACGAGTGAGCAGACTCAAGTTTGGTTTGGTAACAGCATGACTACAAGGAAATGTGTTTATCCAGTCTACTGCCGATGGACATGTAGGTAGTTTCTGGTTTAGAGCTTCTCATTGATTTTGTCACCATAAATATTTAGGTTACTTCTGATTTGTTTCTAAACAATGTTGCAAAGGCATCTTTTTGCATGTTTCCTTGTGCACATAATAGATGTTTCTCTTGGGTAGCAAGAGATGAAAAAATGATCCATCTGGACCACGAGTGAAGCGAAAACAACACAGCTCTCTCCACCTATTTCCTGTCCATGGTGTCTACCATTTTCTCTCTCTCCACTCTCACCACACTATGACTTAACCAGCTTCTGCCCTTTCCCAGAAATTTCTCACAGGTTTTATAAACGTTTATTGAAGTAAAATGTACCTACAAAAAAAGTACATACATTTTATGTGTGTAGCGCAGTGAATTTCTGTAACTTAAATACACGTACGTAACCCAGACAAAGAGACAGGAAATTATAGGCTGTGTAATTTCAGCTTTGCTGGGTACTGCCAAATTGCTCTTCAAGGTGACGGTGTTAGCTAACTCACACCAGCAGTGGGAAAAGTACACTCATTTCTTCCCATCTCTGTCAACACTTGGGGTAGTGAGGCCCTAGTTTTTACCATGCCAACAAATAAAAATTCTATCTTGCTTTAAGATGGTTTTCTTTAATTAATGGTTGAGCATCTTTTCCTGTTTATTTGCCTGTCAGAACATCCTTTGCTCATTTTGCTGTTGGGTTGTTGTCCGGTTTTGACCCTTCCCCCACAAGCCCACAGCTCATCCAGTTTTCTGGACAGCTCCTTCCTACTTGCTGCACCTTCAGCGTAGAGTTAACATCTCATCTCTAGAGCACTGTACTCTTCCCAGGCTAGATGGATATGCTAAAACCTTCTCAGAGATTTCATGGGGCTTCAGTCTTTCATGATCATCACTACCTCTTATACTAGGTGTTGTGAACCAGTGGCTGTGCATATTTGGCTCACAGAGAGCTTTCAGTAATCAGGCGCTATGCTTGGTTGAAACCCAAGCATCCTTTTGTTTCACACCTGGCCTGCTACCCTTACTCATGTTAATGTCATGCCTCCATTGGCACTTGAGATTTGACACGAACCCACGTAGGTTACAGTAAAAGTGTCACTGTCTAGGAATTTCTGAAGAGATGAGTTATCATCTCATTTCCGTCACCAGCTATGGGATCTTGGGCAAGTCATTCCACCACTAAGAAGCGGTCTCTCCTAGTGTAAAATGAGAATGTAAAGATACATCCCCTGCTTCCCTCACAGAGTCATTTTGTATGTCAAATAAAAGAACATCGAGGTGACGAGAGTATGCACCAGGCACCAGTGCCAGTCACATCACGAGGGGTGGCAGTCTACCAACACAGACCCCAGGCTTTTCTGAGAAATGCCCCCAGAAAACCCAGAGTAGAATCACAGGTGGGAAATACAAATGTGCTATCTGCCCACGTTTACTGAAATGATGTGCAGGCTACTAAGTGGTTGGGTGAGGACTGTAAGTCAGAAGGCAACCTCAGCTGAAACAAATGCATCATTATGATTTGATTTCAGAAATGCAAGCATGACCTGAATTAATCGACTGGCTGTTTAGTCCAAATTTCAGTATTGTTGAAGCTGGAGCAGAATTGGGGGGTGGGGGGGTCCATTCTGGAAGTTAGGAAAAGCATAACTGAGCAGGGAGGCCGGTCCAGGGAGCCACGTGGATCACTGTGGGGGCCTCCTACCTGCTCTGTAAGCAAGGGGCCCCGGCCCCAGGCAGCGATGTGGGGTGTTGAGGCTGTGCCGGCTGCTGGATCGATGGTAACAGCTGAGGAGAGAGCAGCACGTGGCTTCTCCCCGTCGTCAGGCAAAGCTCTTCAGTGAGGTGGGCTCCGGGAGGGCTCTATGCCTCTGCTCAGCCGAGCTCCAGCCAGAAGCTCAGGGAAGCAGAGGAGGTGCAGGGCTGCAGCTGCTGCCCGGCTCTCAGGAAAAGGCTGGCCTCTCTTCCTCCCTTGGCTGCAAGGACAGCCAGGCTCAACTCCACCTGAGCCATGCCAGCCAACCTCACAGCCAGCAGCCCCGATTCCAACAGGACCGTGCAGGCGCTGGACCCTCCGGTCCTTTGCACCGAAACGGCGACTTTCACTGCAGTGGTGGAAGGAGAGGAATGGGGCTCCTTCTACCACTCCTTTAAGGTAAGTTTCCTGCCTTCCACTCTGAACACTAATTTTAAATAATGGGACAAGTAGAATTTTAGAGACTCAGTTAAATGATCATAGCTGATATTGTGAATGGGTGTAGTTTATTTTTCTTTAGTAAAAAGAGTTTGGAAAAAAAACCCCGATGAGCTAAAGCAATGAGTTTTTCATAGTGTGCAAGGACTTTTATTGTAACTTCTTAAGACTTTTTTTTTTTTTTTGCTGCTGCTGCTGCTGCTGCTGCTGCTACTGCAGATATGTGAATCAAGAGTAACATTTATGAGTGGGTGACTTTAATTTCCCCCTTTCCTTAGGTGAAAACACTTTTAATTAATTCTATAGTAGTGCCTGAAATGTCTGCTTTTTGTAAGCGGTTATTGCTGTGAGGTTTTTGCTGGGAACATCAGAGGTGTGGAAAGCGCGAAGCAGTGAGAGACACAGCACTGAGGAAGGAAGGAAGGACCACACTTTCTTTGTTGATCCTTTGCCTTGAACATCAGTGAGAATTAGATTCTTTAACTGTAGTTGGTGATGTCACCGTTCGCAACAAGTTGTCTCCTAGAACAGATGAGGAAATCAGCATTTGGTGAGTTTCACCTTCAAAGTATCCAAGGGCCACATTGAGGGAACGGTCCTCATTAAGCTAGTACTTTTCCCTCTTCTGCAATAAGACCGTGATCAGGAACAAACTGGGCATCTGGAAAATGAGAGTTACCTGCTTCCTGCGTCGGAATGCTGGGTCTTCAGGTTCTCTCACATGCTGCCTGATGGAGCATTCAGGCATTGCAGTAATTCCCAGGTCTCAAACTGGTCTTTTATACCAAAAAGAAAAATACTTCAAGAAAAATTCTAGCAATTTTTTTCTCTTTGTAATCCTCTGGGTGTTCTGGAAATAATTTGGTTTGTACCTGACAAGTTAGAATTGCTGTAAGATCCACCTCTCTGCTGGAGCTTTGCTCCTTTGCCCACGCTAGGAATAAAACTTTCAGCAGGGAGCTGTCTGGGGAGCCAGCCTCACTGGTGCCCATCAAGGACCAGGAGACAATGGAGCAAAGCAGAGCCGATCAAGTCACCGAGGCGGATGCTCGGGACCCGTCCCTGGACGCCACATCCTAATGGAGGCATGCACACACACAGCCCCGCTGCCCTGCTCCACGACAGAGGACAGAAACTCAAATTGGAGTTTGTTACCATTTACCTTTGATAGAGGAATAATCTCCTCTATGAAATCAGCCTGCAGACCTAGAGATTCTATCTCGGAGAAGCCGGCTTTCTACACCCAGGAAGCATGCGGCTCCTCTCAGTGCTGCTGCCTCTGCAGCCTCTTTGATATTTATAGAACATGACAGCAAACAGAACGAAGAGAGACCGGCCATTGC